AGGAGCGTATAATCCGTACAGTACTACACGGAAAAATTGACCATTTTATCCACTACAATTGCATTGCTCAAATGTGCTGTTATTGATACCATTTACTACTGAAAATATCAACGTGATGTTTATTTATATTTGAAGACATATTAAAGACTTTAACGCTTGTTTTCGACTCGCACTGCTATTCATGATTGAACAAAACTTTCGGCAGGTACTGTATGAAAAGGTATATTGAATGAACAAGAGTCGAGAGTATAATGATCTTTTTTATCCCTACCTACGATTTTGCCAGCGCGCATCCAAGACATTGGAAGGGGCACATCGCTAGAGAAAGTAAATGAAGTATACCATAAATCGAATTCTGATACCCTTTGCCTGACTCATGTACCTACAAAAACAAATATTTCCATAGTATATTTTTACAAATTTGTGAAAAGGCGAGAAACCTGTATGAAAACTTACCCTTTACAATACCCGACGACATTTGAAATTTAAATAATTTTACTGTGATATTTTAAAGAATTTGCCGCTAGACGAGCGTCGATTGTACGAAGGAAGTTTAAAGCCCGGAGAGAATCCTTGTGTAATTTCCGGTTACCCTCCAAAAGGAAAAACGGTAAAATTTAAAAATCATCACCTACAAGCTATCGGCGAATATTGGACGAAACTGAATATAACGGCGCAAATAACACCCCAACCGAAAATTTCCAATGCTATTAACTTTATGGAATTGTGGTTAGGTGAAGCCGAAGATGGTAATTTATTGTAATTAGCGAAAAATCCAAAAAATACCTTATGTTTTTACTATTTGTAGTCATGAGTTATCTTCAAATAAATAAATGATTTCACTGTTTGTTTTTTGTTTTGATTGTTTACCATTGGTGACAAACCAGGAGAATGATGATAATAAATCTTCCATTTTATGAAAATGAAATAAAAATTTTGCTGTACCTAATGATGAGAAATATTTAGTGTATACAAAAGATAAAATATTCTTCAAAGTGCTTTATTCAATATCGAATTTTTCCGAGTATAATACTTACAGAAATCTCCATTTAATATAAAAGTATTCCTATATAACTAACTGTATTCATTAATAAAAATATCTTATCCCTGCTTTACAAATAAGGACTTACATCTAGTTTTTTGTTCTTCTCCTAAGAAAAATTTTAATATTTTCAATCACTTAGAAAATCATTGAGAGATTTAGGTTCTTCTACTAATCGTAAGAAAGATTTAAATAGCTTCAATCACTTATAAAATTATTAAGAGATTACATCAATTATTCACTGACATACGGTAAGGTCAGGTAATATCAATAGTGTGAACAAAAAGAGCAAATTTTAATATAAATAAGTGAGGCCATATGTCCCTTATTGTACTTATACATCTTGAATAAAAATAAATAAAGTTATACTAAAGAATTCGTTACAGGATTGTCGATATTACTATTTGGATTGGTTCATACAGACTATTCTGTCGATGAATTGATAGCAATCTCTCAAAAACTTTACCAACACTTTTCTCATGTTGGAAAGAATGCAATACATACTATTTTAATAGATCTATAAGATCGAAAGATAAACGGGTTGAAACACCTATTTCAATTATATTGTTAATAACTATCATTGCTTCTTGTTGGATTATCATCTTAAATTCAACAAGTACCCATATAAAAATTCCAACTTACGATGAGATAAAACAGTTGTTTTTACCAATCAGTAAAATTTTATTTGTTAAATAAAGAATAAATGAATGATTTTGTAACCTGGTGTTCAACGTTCATTTTTAGGCATCAACATCCCTACAGAATATTATAATAAAGTTTAGTATAGGTAAACCTGAATAACCTAAATAGTTCAATCCTGATTGGTTAAATAGTTACCTATAAGTATTTACACCAAGAACGGTTTGTCTAGTAAATGACACCAGATAAAATATACAATCGATGATATCTAGAAAAAGTGGGTACCCAAGAAAGGTACTTTTATCATAATTTCAAATACTGCCTGTTATTATGTACATTGATATTTTCCATAGATTAAAATTTATATAAATAAGATGACTGTGCATTTTTTGTTCCCTCGTATCACTATTCGTGAGATGCTTAACTAATCAATGTACCTTTATAATATAGTGGATAATTTATGAGAAACTTAATGTATAACACAGCGAATAGGTGAAAGATTTTTTTCAATTAGTAAATAATTTTTCACCCAGAAGCAATATGAGTAAATATACTTAGCACCAACGCAAATCACCCTTACAATTATAGTACCGTAAAATCCGGAAATATACTCGGTACTTCATAGAACAGTTTTCAACAAGCTAATGCTGCGTCTATTTTCTTCTTAGTATATATTAATTGTTACTAGCTTTTTATTTATTTTCTGTATTAACTGAATAATTCTCTAGTTTCGGATTTTACGGTGACATATGGTCGTAAGAGTGGCCTGTGCTGGTATTAAGTAGATATATGTATTTTTAGTAATAGCGCCACCTGGAATCATATCAATTATAAACGACAAAGGATTGCTAGATTGTATGTTATTAATTAATATAAGTTTTTGAAGTGAAACTTCTTTACGGACCGTAGGGTAAGTTCATTTCATGCGAGTTGCTCTGTAACGAAATCATGCAACGGATGTCCCCCCTCTAGTCGGTCACGTAGTCGAGTTCGTAGTGGGGATCGCTTGAGCCGCGAGCGCGCTTCAATGCAACGTTCGTTACAGGCAACTCCGGCATGTATAGTGTAAAATTTACATTCATAGTGTACAAATAATACCATTAAACCAATTCCTTAACCCCTATCCCGGTATGTTTGTGTGTTTGAAGAAGTTTCACTTCAGTAGCGTGTTGTATAATTACACGTTGTATTTCTTATTTAAAATTGCTGAATTCTAGAGAACTACATACAATTTCAGATTGGACGATTGGAGGAATTAAAGGATAAAAAAATGCCTTCTATCTTGGACATAAAAAAAGCATCAACAAAATTTCGAACAACATATGTATTATATATATGTAAGCAGAACAATAGCTGCCATTCATGTTATCAAGAGTGCTACCTATAAAAAATACAGTGGATTTCAAAGTTAACAGTTCACTTCCAGTTTGTAGCAACCCTATATGGTGTTCTGACGCCCTTTTTGTTAACATGCAACAGAATTTTTTCTGTTACAAGAAACACGAAGAAATAACCGCATACTGCTTGTGAGTACCAAAAAAGGGTACAATTATGTGTAGGTACAAGCCAACGGAAACTTATTTTATAGATAATTTGTAATTAATAAACAATCAAATAATCAAATATTACCGATAAATANTTCTGGCCTAGTACTGTTCTTTTCTACTTTGCGCCGGTCAAACTGAAGGTCACATCGCTACAGAAAGTAAACGAAGTATAATACCTCGCTTTTCTTGGATTAAAGAAAACATTGTCTATCGTTTTAATTGTTAAAAATTTAAATTATTTGAGAATGATTAACTTAATTTACTGACTGTTGGTGTTTCTAATTTTGAAGGAATGTGGCAAGATGCTTTTCGAATATGCAAGGAACATACCCCCTCCTTGTACGACACCCTCGAGGCGGAATACATAAGTTCGAATAAAAGTGATTTGGGTAAAACGGAAATGGAAATGTTGGTACAAAGGGTAAACGATTATATGTCGAAAGGACAATACAGACAAGGAATCGAGACCCTTATTGAAATAAGCAGTCACACATCCGATCCCGAAATTATTCACAGAACCTTACTAAGAGCTGCCGACGTCACCAACAAATTTCTCACTGGGGAAGAAGCCTTAGTAGTATCGAAAATTGTAGGGCCAAGGTTGGAATATTTGTTGATTTAATTTTTAATAAAATACTAATTGTACAAAAAGTAATTAGCACGTAAAGTATGAATAATTCATGAACTAATTTAGAGAACGTCATTATTCTTTTATGGTTTTAATGTCAGTAGTTTCAGTTAAATTTCAAAAGCCAATGAAAAACAAAAACTTACAAACTAACAATAAATAATAAGTCCCCAATTTATGGATATTTTCTGTAAATAACTACGTAATAAATTATCACTTTTAGGCTCGTTGAGGTGGGAGATCACATGACAGCTGCTCAATTGTTTATAAATGTTGATTTAATAAAAGAAGCTATTGATTGTTTTATAAATGCAAACGACTGGGCGAGTGCTAGAAAAATTGCAAGAGAACTTGAACCTTCTTACGAAAGCTATGTGGAAAATAGGTATAGGGATAAATCGTCGGAAAATGACTTTGGAAATACCACTGATATCGGTCAGTATTACACATTCACTAATTTACTAATTGCGCTCATTAAATGTACTCCCCTTCAAGTAAATCTATAAAAACTTTTAAAACTTCGTCAAATTGATCTTCAAAATTCCGATACAGTTATTTATAATGTCGATAGTTTTCTTATTAACTGCAGCAGTGTTTATATCTAAATTTTCTAATAGATTTAATTTAAAGCTTTGTGGTGGATCATCTAAATGGTGGCCATTGGCGATTATCTAATATGACAACGTTGTGGTTATATTTAACACAATGCTCAGGGATACTTTGTTTTTAAGGGGTTATGGAATCATTGGATTTGTTGGCTGAACAAGGGCATTGGACAAAGTGCATTGAAAAGGCAAAAGCACATGGTTTGCCAATTTTGCACAAATACTTGGCATTGTATGCTACCAGTTTATTAAAAGATAGTTCCCCAATCCAAGCTGTAAAAGTGTTCAATACATACGGAACGCCGGCTATCAGTCAAAACTTTAAAATTTACAACCGAATCGTAAAAGAAATGTTGGCATTGAATATTGATAAAGAAGAAAATAACTACGAAATATGGTCAGAGTTACGACAGATGCTTCATAAACTGGTAAAAAGAGCTTATTCATATAGTTAGTTACACTAATTTTGTTCAATCACTCCCTAATTAAACTGTTTATAAATCTGCCGTGTGCTACATCTAAGCGCCACCTTTAGGCAATATGCAGTATTTCAAGAAAACAATAGATCGTCAAATTCCTTAGATCGTTGCATTATACAATTATGTATAATATATAAATTATTTTTGCCTACAGTGAAATACCTATCACAAAGGAAATATTTTCTGAGCGAAAACTTTTGTACGTGATATTAAACAATAATTACTTACGTATATATCAGTTTATCAATCAAAATAATTTTCTCGTGTGTATAAAAAGGTTATGATATAAGTAAAAAAGGATTCAACAGAAACCGATTACATATATTATTCTTTTAAAATTGTTAGGTTAGGTATGCAGAAATTGCACATGTATTTAGTTTTCTTGAGATAATTCGTAATCATAATTACCTGACCAACGCTATGCTTCAGGGCAACAAAATAACTATATTGTATCTTATAACAATTAAACAACTTATACGCAATTTTTGGCATCATTGAAAGTAAAGATATTAAATAATACCTAGAAATATATTATCAAAAACCTCCAAACGATCTTGGTTTGTTTGGATAATTTTACTACTTATAATCCTCGAAGTTAGATATAACCAAGACATAACCCTTTATAAAGTTTGTCACATAACCTTTCAAAGCTAAATGTGTTCCCAGAAAACAATAAATAATAAGAGTAATTAAAGTACACCAAGTACAAGAAAATACATCAGATTTGTAACAAAAGAACGTTAAAAAATTACTATTTATCATACCTTTGTATGCCAACATCTCCCAACGCACTTTTCGCTTACAATTTCTCCTATGCATCACCGTGTCTTGTAAAATAATACAGAAGTTTCCAAAAACTTGAATAACTCGAATTAAAAGTTTGATATAGTCAATCGTTTAATATCAAAGTAACACCTCACTAATCACACGTTCAATCTTTAACTGCCGTCACGGAAATGAAATAGATCACCTGATTATTACTATGTATTTATGAAGCTGTAAGGGCTGCGTCTGCGCCCTATCAAAGGAACTTAAATCTCTTTCCTTTATTAAATGGCGGCAAATTTTAAATGGAAAACAATTTAATACACTTAATTATACCAAATTATACTATGTTAATTAGTAGGTATCTGGTAAAGTGACGTAAAGAGAAGAAGTAAATTATTTTAATTTCAGGTGGAAAATATTAAAACGGGTAATGAAGTTAATTCTCAAACAAAAAGTCACTTTGAAGAACTTTTGCTAATTGTTCATTTTTGTGCGTTGAGGGCTATTTGTAAGAAAGTTCCTTCTTTAAAGCAAATAGCAGTAAAAATATCAATTGCTTTGCTCAGGTACATTGATGTAATTCCAGCTGATAAGGCATTTTGTGAAGCAGGTAAGAAATTACAAATATTTTTCCAATTTATTTACCGTCATCCTTTTGGCATTTTATTATTGACTCGTAAAGGTCTAGATTTGCGGGAAGAAGGTAGAATTTCAGAAGCTTTTGTATTCCTGAATTACTATCTGGATATTTGCGAAGCAATCGAGGAGGGAGATAGTCAAATTATTGATAACACGTACATGGAACACACCGACATACCAACCGATTTCCCGTTACCAAAGGCACTGTACCTTCAGGACGATGAAGCTCTCCATGATGATATTCGTCAATGGGTACTTACAACGAGCATGGACCAAAACATAGATCAGGTACATGTCGTTTTAATTGCATAAAACATTCAAGCGGAAAATTCGCGCTGCCCCTCAAAGCTCTATGGCTTATAGATTATATCGTTCAGTACTGTGAAAATTAAGGATTGTGTTGATGTAAAATCGAATTAAGAAATTAATCAGAAAGATACAAGATTTCTCCTCTCCCCCCTAAGGATTATTTCTGGATTCGCCCTCGACAAAACACCTATTTAAGCAATTTTAATCGTTTTTTGCTTAAACTTCACTAATGTACTCGAAAAATATGATAATGACCGCAAATGTAAGCCAAAAATCGTCAGTTTTCTCGCCCTTAAATCACTTGTATAGGGATTAAAAGTTAAGAGTACCCTTATACAATATTAAACTGCAATAAAATTCCAGTAATTGGTAAAAAGTTTTATTAACATCTATGAATAAACTATAAATCTGTTGTGACTTACAATTAGTTTACAAAACTGCCTCTTATCTTGAACTATGAACTTCAGCCAGGAAAAAACATTGAACGTATACTTCATTTACTTTCTGTAGCGATGTGACCTTCAGTTTGACCGGCGCAAAGTAAAAAAGAACAGCACTAGGCCAGAAAAGGAAGGAGACAACTCTCGGCCAAACTCTTAACCGGTGAGGAGCGTATATGAGGGAATACATAAGCAGAT